TAGAAGGATAAAACAAAATTGAAGTCAGACAAACTTAAGACCAACTTAATCGCATATACCCAGGGTCTTGTTTCTAACAGTTATTCAGCACAGTTCACAAAGGTAGGCTTAGAAGTTGGATAAATTATGTGGAGCAAAAATCCAATATCCAGTTAAGCACTTTAAAATACAACTCAGAGTTTGTGTTTATTCTTACACAGTGTGGCCTCCCCTGACTTCTCAAAATGAGCAGCTTTTCTTTGAGGTTGGAAAAAAAAAATTCCTAAATCATTTAAGAGGCCACGCAGGGGGGCTGAAGGGAGCTGGGTCCTAGTCGACTGGATGGTCCCCCATCACACTCCTGGGACCTGCGCTTCTTGGACGTCTCAGTTAAGAGAAGTTGAATGGAGGCCAGAGTGGAGACCACAGTTACACAATCAATTGATCTTTTGTATGCCTTGTTCCTCCGAGGGACAGATTGGGAAATCTAAACATTGTTTCCTATGACTTAAACTCAGTTGAGATTAAGAGAAAAAAATCAAATCGGTTGTTTTCCTGTCTCTGCAGATGTGCTCTGACAAAAAGATGAAAAATTAATGCCATCTATTTCGAAAGATAGCACTCAATGTGAAACTTCGTCATTTCCAGTTTGAAAGCCTTCAAGCCTGCCTGTGGCTTCCAGGGGGCGTCAATTTGGGGCAGTGTCCACTAGGTGGCACTGTGTCAGAAGGTTTCTTGTATTTGTCACTTGGCTGCAATTTCTTTGGCTGACTCAGTTTTCTCTCTTCTTTCTGTTTTGTTCCCTTTTCTTGTTCTGTTAAAGGAAGTTATTATAATTTAGGCCCAAAGTATGCTTATCTAAAAATGGATACATTTTTTTGAAAAGACTACTTGTTACAGTTTGACCGTAAATAAGTTCATTCAGTCATGACATTTCTTATTAACTCTCATAGGTAAAGATTCTTGTTGTGCTGGGTCATTTATAGGAACCAAGGGTCGTGTGTGTGTGTGTGTGTGTGTGTGTGTGTGTGTGTGTGTGTGTGTGTGTGTGTGTGTGTGTATGAGTGTGTGTGTTGTGAGTGTGTGTGTGAGTGTGTGTGCTGTATGTGTGTGTCTGTGAGTGTGTGTATGAGTGTGTGTGTATCTGTGTGTGTATCTGTGTGTGTATTTATGTGTGTGTCTCAGGTCGCTATATTCTGGGAAGGCAAGTTGCTGATCTTCTAAGTAAGGGAGTCAGGTAGAAAATTAGGTTCTCTTGAAGATAACTTAGTAGTGGCTCCTAGTCATGGGAGGGCTTTGCTCAGCCCCACACTCTAGAAACTGTTGAGGCTTCCGCTCTAGGATGTTTATTATATGATTATCATATAATTCAAAATGATAATGCAAGGGGAAACTTGGTTGGCTGAAAATGTAAGAAGTTATTTATGTTTTATTATGTGGGATAGAAACGTAACTTGTGAGATTATACCTTTGAGTGAACGTGGACATTTCCAAACCACAATTCACGGGGACAGTCACACATCACATTTCTCAATGCCTGCTGGATATCAGAATCCACCGGGGAGTATCTTTTGAAAAATATCAAGTTGATATGAGACCAGTGGCCAGGGCAATCCCAAAGTTTCCTCCAAACTGCAGCTGCATCCCCCAATGGGATACATCAAGTTCTACCTACAAGAAATTTGTGTGAGCACACATGCTTGCACGCACGCACGCACGCACACTCACATATGCACTTGTGTGTGGGTACGTGTGTACATGTGTGTAGAAGTCAGAGGCCATCTGGGGGTTTTGTTCTTCAGAACCACCCACCTTGGTTTATTAGTACAGGGTCCCTCATTGTCCTGGAGAATGATGGTTAGGTGAGGTTGCCTGGCCAGAGAGTTCCGAGGACCTGCTGGTGAGTGCTGGTATTGCCTACTGAGTGCTGGGATTACGACGGTGCACCAGTGTCTAGTTCTCTTGTCTCTCTCTCTCTCTCTCTCTCTCTCTCTCTCTCTCTCTCTCTCTCTCTCTCTCTCTCTCTCACACACACACACACACACACACACACACACACACATACACTAGTTCTGGGGGGTCTAACTCATATTTCACGGTTGCATGGCAGGCACTGTGCTGTTTGTATCCTTCAGCTAAGAATGCATTTGTTTGTTTGCTTATTTATCTTTTTGCAGTCTCAAAGTCCAAAGACAACTGAAAATTCTAGACCTTAGTAGAATGGTATGTTTATGACTACCCATAAATAGCAGTTACTTTCGGGCTCAAAAGTTTGGGGTGGAGACATACGTGTTACAGTGTTTTGTGTGTGTGACCTGAGGTCACAGATTTATCATATGATCCATTTTGGAACTTCCTTACTGAATTTCTGAGAGGAATTGCAATTCTTGGATACTCTAGTGAAATAACACAAAAGCCTTACCTCCTGGGTCTCTAATGAGAGGTCTAATTCATCCTGGGACACGGGCCCTTTTTTCCCCTGACAGCAGGCATTGAAAGTGCTTCGGAGAGGTGCTATTTATTGAATTTTCTTGTAACTAAATGGGTCTGTGGCAGCTCTGACCCAGAAGCCACTGATTAAGCGGGCAGGGAAAGTGCATTCCCAGTGGAGAGGGAGAGAAAACGTTCCTGCCCATGTAATCAGGGGCTTCAGTCTGCTGCTTTGGCCGGGTCTCAAGCTCTGAGATAATTCCTCATTTGCCCATGTAGAAATCCTTGCAGAGGGGATTTGTCAGTCTCATCCGGGGCTATAGCAGCTGCTGGTCTGTTAGAAATTCAAATGTGAGACTCCAGCACGGGCCTCCTGTGTCTTGGGCTCACTGCATGATCTTGCAGTTGGTACCTGCCGGTCCTCCTGGAGGTCGGCTCACACCACTCAGTTTTGAGAGTCCCTGCAGCCATAATGACATTTTTCTTGATTTTCCCCCACAATGAGGCTGAGTGTAGAAAATCAGGGAAGAGATCTGGAGGGATGTGCCATGCGTCTGCTCTCCTGACAGTGGAGCAGGTCAGAGCTAGGGGAAAACGAGGGTGTGGCTTTAAGCCTCAGAATGTAACTCTGTTTCCAAGATGTCTATTCTAATCAGGTAAAGATGCAGTATGTATATGTGATATCTATGTGTAAATGTACACAGTGGATATAGGGACACTGTATATAAATGTATAAAGTTACATACAATGTATAATGATGTACCATGCGTGTATATATAAATGCATAAGAATATATGTAGTTATTAAAATATACAATGTATGATTATATATATATAATTCCATAAAATATACATAGTATTTTTAATAACTACATATATTCTTATGCATTTATATATATTTAAATATGCATATAATTCCATATATACATAATCATATATATATATATATGTATATCTATACACACATAATCTGCAGTATGAATGTCAAGTGAACCAAACCAGGAGATTCCAAAAATTGGACCATTGGCAATCCTGAGACGATCTTGTGAGACTGGAGGTCAGAAGTGGAGAAGGAAGGAAAGACGACCGAGAGCCACTGCATTGTCCAATGCAAGGGGCCACCACCTGCTTCAGATTCCCTACAGTGGGTTTCAGGCTGTACAGGGACCCAGGTGTAGACCAGGGCAGAGGCTGGCCTGATGTGATTTCTGTGGGTTCTCCAAGAGTTACGGAAAACAGCACAGATTCTTGTCTCCTTTTGGGGGTACTGAGGGCGGAGAGAAGACTAAAGAAGAATCCATGTTATCTCCAGGTAGCTTCTCACTGGCAAGAATTGAACTCGGGTTATTTCATCTACTCATTTAATGGTCCGATTGTATGGCTGCAAGACTTCCTGTCTGGATAGGGAAAGCTCTCGTGACATGGTCTGTTCTGTAAACATCGTGGAGTGGTGGGTGGCCAGCAGGAGTTCTTATCCTAGTAAGGGAGACGGGACACTGTCCTGTGTTGATAGCGTCCAGCTATCTGACTTTATATATAAAGCTGAGCTGGGCACTCAGCTGGGTGCTCACCTGCATTATCTCATCCAACCTTTCCCAGCCTGGCTGCTCTTTAAGCACTGAGATTGGAACCAAGGCGAGAGCTAGAGCTTTGACCTGCTCTAACTTATGGGACATTTCACGTTAGCTGATGTCTGAGTCAGGAGAGCCTGTAGTCACTTGATAGAGACTTCATTCTGGGGGCCCAGGTTAAATATGCAATTTCCAACACCTATCTACTTTGTGATCATTTCCCCCCCTGGCCTATGCATCTAGGCTTATTTGCAACAGTATTTTAAGTTAATTATTGGCATTCTAAAAGCTCTTAGGCCTTCGCATAGTACTTTAAACACACTGTGACTTAAAAAAAAATAACCACTGGGATCTAGGCATCATTCTCCTTCTTGTGGGTGGAGCCTCTGCATTATAATAGGAATTCACTACTGAGCTCCATAAAAAGAGGCCCACTGAAGACCGAAGAGTCATACATTTTGTGTATTTGGGACTTTTATGGCTTACTTCTTTCCCATCTGTATACCTGCTACAGATTTTTAATTATGCTCAATTATTATGTTTTATAAGTTAATTTGTCTCTTGTTTTCTTTTATTGCCCCAAAGGTTTGTGTGGTGGTGTGTGCATGCATGCATGCGTGCGTGCGTGCATGTGTGCATGTGTGTGTGTGTGCAAGCTGGACTTTTTAAGTATTTCAGGTGTTCAGAATCTAGGAATATGAGTTGCAGGGACTCTGCTGCCTACCTCAAAGCTTTGCCTCATTATAAAGCATCCTAGCCGGGCGGTGGTGGCACACGCCTTTAATCCCAGCACTCGGGAGGCAGAGGCAGGCGGATCTCTGTGAGTTCGAGGCCAGCCTGGGCTACCAAGTGAGTTCCAGGAAAGGCGCAAAGCTACACAGAGAAACCCTGTCTTGAAAAACCAAAAATAAATAAATAAATAAATAAAGCATCCTGGCTGATTTTACATCTGGTAGTCCTACATACTTTTACCGCTTTACCAGAAGAATGGGTTTATGAATAAAATTCTCTTTTATTTCAGGAATTACAACATATTGTCGGGCCACAGCGCTTCACGGGAGTTCCAGGTAAATATGAGTTTGTGTGAGTGTTTGGAGCCCCATACAGTCTGTAGTCTTTAAACTCACCTGGTCCTCTCATCCCCAGCCACGATGGAAGGTTCATGGTCTGATCTGGTCCAGCAGGGCAAGTCTGAGACTCAGCCTTTTGCTCATCTCACTATTAATGCTGCCAACATCCCATCGGGTAAGTTATATTTACACTCTGCCTAAAAACATATTTCAGTTTTTCCGTTCGTCAGCCCATGGATACTCAAGCCTATTCTTAGCCTGTTACTAAAACGTCTGAGTCTTGACTTCTAAACCAAAAGAAGGAGGCCAACCCTTCAGTTGACTCCTACCTTGTCAATCATGTCATCGTCACATCATCCCTGTATTCATTTTCAGATCATGGAAGTGGGTGTTTATTTTAGGTACCTGTGCCAGTTGGGAACACACATATAATTGTTCACAGTGGCCATCTGTTTTAACTCATGAAGTAGATTAGTTTGGTACCAAACGCATGCCCATTACTGACCTCCTTGGTGGCTGACTTCATTCAGGAAGCCAGAGAGGTTTCCTTCCGGGAGGACTGTGTGGAGGTTAGCAGACAATCGGAATCCTCAAGCAGCTAAGATATTCTGTGCCTTCTCCTCATGCTCATCCTCCTACTCCCTGGTAAAGATTTGGTTTCATGGGCCAGGGACCTGATTGCTTTTGAAAATGAGGGTCCAGAGTTCTGTGCCTGAAGCTACCTCAATGCACTAGGTAGGTAGTTATCACATAGTTCCACCGGCTACTCACCACGGGCTAGGCAAAGATTACAAGGATTCCAGAGGACATTACAGTAGAGTGAGAATTGAATTGTTAACACTACTGTGTCCTACATACTGAATATCTCCTCTGCTTAGGTAGTTCGCTGTGCATTCAGGATCTCTCATCCTCCTACAAGGTTGCAATTATCATTTGGATTGTACAGGCCGTGAGACGGGGCTTCCCATAGTTTGTCACTTGCTTCAGGTCACAGTGGTAACAGGATTAGAAGCTGACTTTCCACTCTACTTAATTCTCAGTCCCTGTTATACACTATCCCAGAGGCAGGCTGCAAGGTACCTGTGGGGGGTTGGCTTTGTCAGAAGGAAGTAATGCAAGGGTCATAGATATTTTTGCCAGAAGTGGATCAGTTTGGTATCCAATGACAAAGGCTCTAATGTCTGCTTGGGCCTGTGACCTTATATGCAGTGGTGGGATCTGTGCCTCAGCTACAATAATCACAGAAGCAATGTCCACTCTGTGGGGAAGCTGTACACACTATATTTTTGGTAGAAGGGGGCATATTACTCTCGGCAGATGTAATTCACAATTGTTATCTGAGCTTGATTAAGTCATTATGTAAATTTCATTTTGTTCTACAAATGACCTAAGGCAAGATTTTTTTTTCTTTTTTGAGTTTAAACTCTTTTTGGAGTCGTTTCAATAATAAAAGTTCATCTTTTTAATAAATAATTTTGAGCCATTATCCTAGCAGAGGCCATAGAGAGAATTGTTTTCTGACTGAAGATATGAAAGGCAAGAAGCCAGCTCTTGAGCTGTTGGGAGGTTCTCTAAGGTCCCTGTTCAGATCTGCATAGTCCTCTGTCTGTTTGTGTCTGGTGATGGAGCCATGCTAATTTTCTGAGTGGGAAAACTAGTTTGCATGTTCACAAAGGCAATCAAATTAATACCAATGCATGGGCTGCGTGTGCGGTGAATGTACCCTACATTTATCTTTTCAGTTCACTTTAAATGGCATAGGATAAATATTGCCTGAGACCGTGTGCCAGAGTTGGCTTGGCAACAGCAAGCATGTTTTAGTTATAAAGCTTCCTCTGCAGGCACCTAGAATCTAACCAGTGCCAAAAATCCAGGCAAAACTCCTGCTCATGTGCCGACAGCTATTTGGCTTAGGACACAGGGAAATTGGCCACTCTGTGACTCTGTTTAAGAGAATAGAGTTAGTGACTCTGGTTGGGCCAACAGCCCCTCTAACCCATTGTTCTCGAAATGCTGGCCAGTATTGAATGATTCAGAGGAAGTTGGCTTCCACTTGCTGTTTTTATTTTTGAGCGCCGTTATGTATTTATTTATACGGAATCTGTTGTCGCATGTGAACTGTTCTGTGGTTTCAAAGTTTCTTGAGTAAAATGCGTTAGGAAGTACTTGGCGGGGGGCGGGGGGGGGGGTCAGAAGATGGGATTTTCCTTAGGAAGCCGTGTAAGCAAAAATGTTTGCTGAGGTCCCTGTCCACGATCTAGCAGCTGGGAGCCCAGCAGAGAGTTGGAGAGGTCAGCCAGGCTGGGGTAAGAGGTCCGCAGCATGCCTCATTAGCAATAGAAACCCTGACTGCCAGGGCAGGTCTGCCTCCACCCTGCCATTTCCTCATCTTTCCCCCACCGTCATCTCTTGGTGAGTCCTTTATTCACACTGTCTGCCTTTCTAGTCTTTCTCCTGTGGGCTTCACAAACACCCCCACTGAGCTTCAATAGCGTTTTTTTCTCACCACCTGTATGCGTCCGTTCCTCAGCCCATTTCTGACTTGAGCCTCCCTGCTTTTCTGGCTCTTCTGTCTCACCAAGCTGACATCACGGATCTCTACAGCTTCTGCCTGGGCAGTCCCTCGCCACCAATATCAAACCCTGCTCTTCACAGCAGGCAGCAATGGGAAGATCGTATTTTACATGCTCACTTCTTATTTCCCCCGCCATCAGTGGTAAGCATCCCAAGGGCCCACTACTTGGTAAACATCTTCATTATGGACAGAGCAGGTCATTCTTCATTTTAGGCAGAGTGAATGTCCACAGGAAGCACCATGTTAGGTCTCTTCCTGTCAGATCACCAGGAAGAATCAGTACTTGAGGACAGGAATGGAGAAAAGCAGAGAATACATTAGAATATAGAGGATGCTTCTCCCACGTGACACACTGAACTATAGGAATGGTACTCAGTCAGGGTTCCAATCTGTTCTCACTGCCATTTTGTATTCCTTTCTTGCCATCCCTGGCCATATCTCACTCCAACATGAGTTTGCCTGTTCCATAGGAAGAAGAGACTTCACTTTAGTAATTTAACTTGTCTCTGTTAAGAGAGATGTACATGACAATTGAATGAAATGTAGTACAGGAATTGGGTAAGAAGCTGGGCAATATGGAGTCACTTGAGTTGGGAATATTTTGAATTTCATAAGCTCTGCCCCTGGATTAGGTGGCTATCTACTGTCCTGGAGGAGTTATCATGTCAGCGTTTATGATGATGTAGTGAGCAGGCTTTTATAGTCCCATGTTGATTCACTTGGGACTCGAGGGTGGTATTTGCATTTAGTGACACTTGCCTCCAGGCAGAGCTGAGATAAGTGGGAGGAAAGGATGATTACTATCCAGTGCCTGGAGGCTGGTGACCGGCTGTAGCAGCCCTGCTGTAAAGTATGAGGACCCTCTTGTCCTCTTTGGAAACTGGAACCTTGTTTTCTTGATCATTTAGTGATGGGTTGTCCCACTGCAGAGTGGCGACTGCCTCATCTCACCCCACTTTTCCCATCTCCTGTTGGATTTCTGCAGTAGCTTGATTTGGAGGTCCTCAGATCATATCCAAGATACCACAGGGCTTTTTCTGGTTCATCCTCTGACTCTCTAGGGAAGGATATAGGTGTTCAAGTCTCTCTAGGACTCAGGCTACTATGGGAAGGTAGATAGTGTAGGTGATATTATTGTTATTGTTATTATTTATACAAAGATCTCCTTGGATCCACCAAACCAGAGAGTTGTCAACTTTCATGACATAGAATCTAGTTCCTGGGGTGGTGGCTTCAGTGTTAGTCCCTGTGCTTATTTCTTTTATTCTTAAAAAGTTATTTATGTATATTTTTGTATACCATAATGTTGAAATCATAAGGACATTTTTATTAAAGTATATCATATATTTTTGACATTATTCACTTGCCATCACACTCAATCCCAAATAGCACCCCTTCTATTTGCATGGTTGATGTGTGTGTGTGTGTGTGTGTGTGTGTGTGTGTGTGTGTGTGTGTGTGTGTGTGTGTCTTCTAGCTTCCACACGTGAGCAAGAACTTGCAATACTTGTCTTTTCTGGGTCTCCCTGACTAATTCCTGTCATTTACCATCTCAGTACTAGCCAGTTGTAGGCAGCATGGCACCTAACAGTTTTTTTTTTATGCTGCAGAAACAAGTTGTTCCCTGATCCCGTAGTCTGAGACCAGCTGTGCCTTGTCTTCCTGACTCCAGAGAGACGGCACTGTTAGTTTGGTATAACTCATTTCAAAATCCTTGGAGGAAAGATGTGTTCTTGGACCTTTCCATGCTTCTGTAAACTCCAACCCTCTGAGTTATCACCTTTTCCAGTAGAACAATCAGTATTCACATAAGTACACGTATTGAGCAATTTGATTTATTATAGAGGTATCCCCAATTTTTAAAGAGCTGGTAATATACATCAAAGACCTGGACTACGAAAAACATTGGGCAAATGATTGATTTACAGTGTTCTTTAGAACTTGGACTTCTCCAGAAATGAAAGCATAGAGGTCCCTTGTCACCTCATTTTATGGACTAGAGGGGGTTATAGGAGAACTTGGAACTGGGGAGTGATTTTACAATATTAGATGTGAGTGATTGCATGACTCGAGGAGCTAGGATTTATTTATTTATTCATTCATTCATTTCTTGAGCTTCGCTGGGGATAGACACTCAACTATGTGACTCTGGCTAAGGTGGGGATGATAGCTGGTGATACAGATAGAATTGACCTTCCCCCAGCTTCTGTGACCCAGACTCTCATATCCTTCTACATACCCCTGTCCATGAACAGAGGGTAAGCTATGTGACAGATGAAGTGCTCTTCCTGTACAAGCTGATTTCTTTCCTGTCTGAACTGACTCTGGCTAAGTCTCCTCTTCAACCTGGCGTGCACTGCTCTTAATCTTTTCCCTTCTATGTTTCTGGCAGGGTAGCCCCTTCATGGAGTCAGGTTTGGTCCCTCTGTGTAGAAATAACTTGTTCCCTCTCTCTCAAATCCCCATCACAATTTTATGCACTTCCTCCTCCACTCTGCTTCTTTTCTGGACCATGTTGCATTATCGCTCATGTTCAATAGCCTCCTTAAGGGCAGGAATGAAGGACTTTTGCTTTTGTGCCCCCGGTGGTCAGGATAGAAAGCACCAAGTCCCGTTGAATGCACCCATCCCCATACAGAAACTGCGTGTCAAGGTAAGTTATTATGATGGAATAAGGACTATGACGTTGGCATATAATACCACCCACCAGCCCATGGAAATAATGAAGAGTTTTCTCATATGAGAAGTGGATTCTAAATCTGTTCCTCTGTCCTCTGTAGGTTCCCATAAAGTCACTTTGTCCTCTTGGTACCATGATCGAGGCTGGGCCAAAATCTCCAACATGACTTTAAGCAACGGAAAACTAAGGGTTAACCAAGATGGCTTCTACTACCTGTATGCCAACATTTGCTTTCGGCACCATGAGACGTCGGGAGACCTAGCCACAGAGTATCTTCAGCTGATGGTGTACGTTGTTAAAACCAGCATCAAAATCCCAAGTTCTCATAACCTAATGAAAGGAGGAAGCACCAAATACTGGTCGGGGAATTCTGAATTCCACTTTTACTCCATAAATGTCGGAGGGTTTTTTAAGCTCCGAGCTGGTGAAGAAATCAGCGTTCAGGTGTCTAACCCCTCCCTGCTGGATCCAGATCAAGATGCGACCTACTTCGGGGCTTTCAAAGTTCAAGACATAGACTGAAACTCGTTTTGTGGAGCATTAGCATGCATATCCTAGATGTCTGGAAGCATTTCCATTAAAAAAATGGAAGATGTATATAGGTGTGTAAGACTACTAAGAGGCATGGCCCACATTGTACAAAATTTACGGTCTTCTTCTCTCTTGACCCCCTGTGTAGGTCATGCGTGTGTAAAATCAATAGGAGAGGTTAGACTCCTGGCGATTACACAATGGTTGTAAAATTTTGTAATGAAATCCTAGAATTCAATCAGACTGGAAGAAGTATGGGGATGCTTATAAAAAATGGAAGGGGTCATAGTCTCTGGGTCTAACTCCTGGCCATGTGCCATTAAGAACCTCAAAATTAAGAGGGTGCCATTTCCTTGCAGACAAATGATAGTTTGAAGGGTTAAGTTCTTTTGAATTGCTACATCATGCTGGAACCTGCAAATAAGTGCTTTTTTTTTCTAATGAGGAGAGAAACTGTATGTATTTTTATATAATATCTAAAGTTATATTTCAGGTGTAATGTTTTCTGTGCAAAATATTGTAAATTATATTTGTGCTATAGTATTTGATTCAAAAATATTTAAAAATGTCTCACTGTTGACATATTTAATGTTTTAAATGTACAGATGTATTTAACTGGTGCACTTTGTAATTCCCCTGAGGGAACTTGTGGCTAAGGGGAAGGATACTGTTTCTGGCGACCACACCGTAGTTTATTTCTTCATTCTTTTTAATTTAATAGAGTTTTCAGACTTGTCAAGCCTATGCAAACAAAAGAAATTAAAATGGATACCTTGAATAATAAGCAGCATGTTGGTCACCAGGTGCCTTTCAAATTTCGAAGCTAATTGACGTTAGGAGCTGACATAGCCAAACAGGACACATAGCAGGCTACTGAGAACTGTCGGGAGTATTTATGTAATTATTGAACAGGTGTCTTTTTCTACAAGAGCTACAAATTGTAAATTTTGTTTCTTTTTCTTTTTTAATAGAAAAAATATTGTGGTTTATGAGCAAGAAACAATTCACTTTTTAATTTAGTGAAAGTTATTTTATTATACTGTACAATAAAAGCATTGTTTCTGAATGTTGATTTTTTTGGTACAAAAATAAATTTATATGAAACCTGCCTACTCATTTCTTTTCTTCACTTTCATGTGTGTCTTGCTCTGTGACCCTGTTCTTTCCAATATGATAATACAGCTCCTGTCTTTCTCCAAAGGTTACTGGGAGAAACGCAGATTTAATTAAAACCTAGGAACAGATTCAATTAAATTAATGAACCTTGGAATTTGAAAAATAATTTTCAAGGGATTTATATTCAAGGATGTAGGCAGAGAAAAAACAGGCTCCTCGCTTTAAAAAGAAAAGTTTGCTCTGCCTGTATCATGAGCAAAATGTGGGCTTTGCCTTGGGGGAACATCAGGGCATGCTCTCCCCTACCACAGTAAAGGGGGACTCACTTTGGCCTGGACACATTTCCTCATGGAAATCTGTGTGGATGAGCTGTCTAAACCACACTGGTTATGCCTGAAGGACAGAGAAAAGAAAACAGCCAACTCGGGAAGGCACAGGAAGTCATTATTTGAGGCACTTGTCATTTGCAGATAAATGTTTTTTGATGATTGAGACAGCATAGGATGGGAGAAGGAAAAGCAGATGTTACCGAGAAGAAATCATAAATTTTCAACAGCAGAGCTATAATGGTGGGACTCGATGGTGTTGGCCAAAAGACACCTACTATTTTATGTCTGTCAGGAAATCTGAGTTTGAATAGTGCAAAACATGACTTGGGTGTTGTGTATCCTGAGGGCTGCTGCTTATCTTAAGGAAGAATTTCAATGAGCAGTCGCGTTCCTGCAGCTCCACAGACACAGAATCTCGTCACAGTCTCATTAACTAGCCAGCTTATAGCCTGGTCCAGCAGTTTCTACTTGTTCATTTCCTATTTTCTTTTTTTTTTTTTTTTTTTTTTTAGCACCGATGATATGCTAAGGACAGTACCAGGCATTGACCGTAGTTACTATGGCCCAGCCCTGGGCTTCTATTCTAGTGGAGTTATCAGCTTATGTAGGGATGTCGGAAGAAGCATGTCCTGCTTGATCCAAATATTGAGAATCACAGAAAGTCTAAAATGAAATATTGGATAGAAAGTGGAGCAAAAGCCTCCAATGTGGACACAGAATGTCCACTATTAATTGCTGTGGATATTACTCTATGTAAATAAAACACTGATGGCTAGTGACCAGGCAGGAAGTATAGGCGGGACAAAGAGAGAGGAGAATTGGGGAAACAGGAAGAAGGAGGGAGAGACACTGCAGCTACCGCCAGGATAAGAAGATGTAAAGACGCCGGTAAGCCACCAGCCACGTGGCAAGGTATAGATTTATAAAAATGGGTTAATTTAAGATAAAAGAACAGTTAGCAAGAAGCCTGCCACGGCCATACAGTTTATAAGTGATACAAACGTCTGAGTGATTATTTTATAAGTGGATTGTGGGACTGCGGGGCTTGGGGAACCTGGAGAGAAGCCCTCCAGCAACAATTAATTTTTACTTGGGGGTAGCATGTTACTTTCGAACTGTTGTGATCAATATATGAGAACACCTTAGGCCTGTGGTTCTCACTCTTCCTGATGCTGCCACCCTTTAACACGATTCCCCTTTTCCTTCTGCTTTGCCTTCTCATGCATCTCTTCCTCTATTTCCTCTCTCTCTGCTTTAATCCCCCCACCCCACCTCCACCTGCCGCCCTCCACCAGACTTACCCAGAGGACAGTCTGATGGAGGTAATTTCTCAGTTGCGGTTCCCTCTTCCCAGGTCTGTCTAGGTTTGTGTTGAGTTGACATAAGCTAACCAGCGCACTAGTGGTCCTTGGGGAATAAGGAGGCTGTTGTGTCCAATTGAGAAGAGACAAGATCGTGTCCCCACCCGGCTACAACTGAGTAAATGGGAGGTGTGACCACACAGTGTCAGGAAACCTGTGTATATGGGATGGAGTAGATCTGAGCTGCTGGCTCACTCTACCTGCTGCAGTTCAGTCCTCTGTACCTGCCAAATCTGGGGAAGGAGAGCATGCCAAGTCTCAAGTTATCTGTCTTCCTGAATCAATTTTTACAACCACACCAAGCCCATGCATCCAAGCCTCTTTCTAAAACACGACATGAAGTGATTCTTAGTGTGATCGATTTACCCAGGTTCTCTTGCTCTTTTATCTCATTCATTTACAATTAAATTTTATTTTTAAATTTTACGTGCATTGGTGTTTTGTCTGTATCATTGTCTGTGTACCATGCGTGTGCCTGGGGCCTTCAGAGGCCAGAAGAGATGCCCTGGAATTGGAGTTACAGACTATTGTGAGCTACCATGATGGTGGTGAGACTTGAACTCGGGTCCTCTGGAAGAGCAGTCAGTGTTCTTAACTGCCAAGCCATCTCTCCAGCCCCATCTCATTCATTTCTATTAGGCTGCCTTGAAGAGTTCCCAGGGGAGATAACCTCGATGACTTTAGCGGGAAGTTGGGAACTCTGGCCCATCCTTTCTGAGTGTTCTTACTGGATTGGATTGACATAGCAATACCACTATACTCTATGCTTTGGGGACACAGAACTTTAACTCACTTTGTGATCTTACCTTTGGCCTCAGGGTCACGGTGGGCACACCACATGTATATCCCCTTCAGTTTGTCTTTGTTAATTGATTCTTCTGCTTCTTTGCTATGAAATTGAAACATGTCCTCAGTAACTGCAGTTATAAATGCTAATGAGCTATTGACTCACATTATTATGATTTAGCCTCCTGTCACTTCTTATAATAAAAATGTGTACACATGTTATATTTCAGCTATAAAAGAAGTACCCTTTCGATTAATAATATGCTTATGACAATTCTCTCTTGTCTTTTTTAACTTTAAAGGTGTGTGTGTGTGTGTGTGTGTGTGTGTGTGTGTGTGTGTGTGTGTGAATATGTGTGTCACATTTCTGCATGGGCCAAAAGAGGCCGTCAGGTCCCCTGGAAGTAGAGTTATAGGCCACTATGAGCAGCTTGACATGGGTGCAGGAACCAAATTCAGACACTCTGCAAGGTCTTAACTGCTTATGACTTAAGTGCTGAGCCACCGCTCCAGCCCCGCTTTTATTCTGGTAACTTGAAATTCTATATATATATCACTTAGTCACTTGCCCTCTTTTTTTTTTGTTGACAAGTTTACTTTAGGGGCTCGGTACTATGGCATCTTAACCAGCACTCCGGCCACGTTGTTTCAGTTAGACACGGCCTGAGCCAGGAGGACTGGTGTCTGGGGACAGAAGATGGATGTCCCAGATCAAGCAAAGAGATCAAGCAGATGGCTCCTCAGCATCTTCTGGCTTTACCCAGACCTTCAGAGCATCAGATGGTGTCCACCCACGCTGGGAAAGACAGTCGTGACTCAGCTAATCGACTCCAGGGACTCCCTCACAGACACACCCAGAAACAGTGTTTTGCTGTCTGTCTGACATGCCATAGTAGCCCAGTGGATTTGCCTCATAAGATTCACCATCATGCTACACTGGGGACACCCTGTCACCTATAAAATAGCTTAGAAGAGGTAGCTGTTTTGAGAAGCCCAAATGCACTTGGTCAATGACAATATCACTTCCCAACTTGATGGGATTACCATGGAAACAAATCTCTGATCATGCCTGTGAGAGAGGATCTAGATTAGCTTGGCTGAAGTAAGAATGCTAGCCTTGAATGTGGATAGTACCATTCCAGGGGCTGGGGTCCCCAAATGATCACAAAGGGAGCCAAGCACAAACATTCACCCTCTTTGCTTCCTGACTGGACATGATGGCCAGCTTCCCCCTCCTCTTTCCCTGTGATTCTCCTATCATGATGGACTGTACTAATGCTGGGAGCCCAAACCCTTCCTTCCCGAGGATGCTTCAGTCAGATACTTTGCTCAGCAGTAAAGAAAGTAACCAATACACTGTGTGGCATCCCTCTCCTTAGCATCTCTCTCCTTCTTAATTCCTGTGCTTACGCTGCTACTAAAACTGTTTCTTAATCAACTCCAGTACTGCCTGTAAGAAAGTGAATTTAGGATAAAAATATCTCAATCCAAATAGGTGGTGAAAAAGAGAAAAGTTCACAGACCACACTAGGGGAAACACAAATAACAAACACATTTTATTGATGAAGCCTAAATGAGGAATTAAGTCATGAAACAGAGTAGGAACTTCGATGAGTTTGTGTAAACTGCCATGGCTCAAAGAGACAGTCTGTATAATACAGGGTAAGAGAGATCCCCATCCCCAGCACAGGACAACTACAGAAGCCAGTCTAGGACTCCCATTCTCTCTCTAGCTTACAAACACAGTCATGGTTACCCCCAAGGCAAGTCCTGACTTGATGCCCAGGTTGGTAGTTACAGGAGTCATTAGGAGCATCCAACCATGGGGATGAGGTAGGACAGTAACTTGGGGGTGAGTCTCCATGTGAAGGCAGGCTTGATGGCACTTGGCAATGCCAGAAATCATGCAGACCCGAGTGGCTGCCCAGATGCCAGAGGACACCATGTGGAAAGAACTTGAGGTGCCTGTGAACCCTGAGCAGATGTACAAACAACCTCCTTTGTGGGGTAGATTCCCAAAGCTTCCATGAAATCCTGTCCTAGAAACTATGAGAAGCTGTTGACCTTTGAATTAGCTTGGAATGGTGGCCATAACAAATTACCACAAACTCAGAACTGCAAAAATACAGGCTCTTTACTTCTGGAGTAGGAGCTGGCAAGGGCCACAGCCTTCCGGAGACTCAGGGCGAAGCCTTCACCTCTCTGGTTCCCAGGGGTTCAAGGAGTTCCTTATATCTTCTTAGTTCCAGTTTCTGCTCTGGCCCGTCCTCACACTTGCCCATACCTTTTCTTCTTCTGTTTCTCCTCTTCCTTTCACACTCTTTGTTTAATTCTGTGTCTGGAGATGTTCATATCACAGCTGGAGTATGAAGGTCATAGGGCAACTTCTGGGAGGTTTTTTCTTTTTCTTTTTTCACAGCAAGTTGCCTCCACCTGATGAGACATCTTACCAGCCCCCTCTTTTCTTTCTTATAAAGGCACAAGACATTAGATTTAGGGTCTCAGCATGGCCTCATCATCACATACTTTTCTGCAATGGCCCTTTATCTAAGGAAGCCGGCATTTCCAGGATTTGGAACACAGATGCGTCCTCTGGGGGCGGGGGGTCACCATTCCACCTACTGGACTCTCTAAGCCTCGCATGCATCTGATACTCTGTTGCCGGGTCACTCTGCTCTCTTCCCTTTTAGGGCCTTCGTTTCCAGGAAGGGGCAGAGCATGGCGAGACTACAATTACGAAAATAACAAGCAAAATACAGAGGGATACACTTTCCTAAATCTGCAAAACGTGGAGACAAATCCCAGGGGAGGGTACATAAACACCAGCATGTTACTATTGGGGTATGGATATTTTTTTCTTTTCAAAATTTCCCTATAGATGTTACAGCGCTATTGAAGTCAATAATAGAGAGCATTAAAACAGATCTTTTCAATAGAAGAAAGAGACTGCAGCTTTTGGAACAATCTAGGTTCTGAGCTGTGGGCCTGTGTGTTTTTGAAATGGAATACCCCAGGGGCTTGGGTAGAGCCCTGGAGAGCTGGAGTCTGAAGAAGCCCGCTTTTAACATAGGAAAAAGAGAGTTCTCCCAACTGCAGCATCTGGCACCAGGCTCAGCCTTGGACTGGGATTACATTCAGGATTAAGGGCTAAAGACACCTGTGGGAGTCATGTTCAGTCTCCATCCCTCCCTCCATCTTCCCGGGTTCGAGTGAAGAGACTTGGAAGCAGGATGAAGTCAATGAAGGAGAACACAGTCCCGAATGCCTCACACGTCTGTTTAAGGAGCACAGAGTTAATTTTTCAAAGATTGCTCAACAACTTGTTTTCTGCCATCAACAAGGGAGTAAGCAAGACAGAGACAGAGATAAATTAATTGAAATGTTTCCTTCACATGTAACCACTCAAATAAAGATGGTATCCCCATGGCCCAGCTGCTTAATCAGGTATGTGTCTTTGTAATGGATTGTTACCAGAAGCTCAAAGTTAAATTGTATTTTTTTTTTTTGGATGACATAATAGAGCTTATGGGGAAAGGCTTTCTTTTAAATAGAAATTGTTTCCTTATATCTAAGTTCCTGTATATGCCCTATATCTGCTCTGTTGTCTAACCACGAAGACTGCCGTATCTGCAGAACATCTGCTGGTCTTGGCACCGAGTGAAGCTTACAGTCTGTCAACACTGTGAGAATTCAGATGTTCTATCAGCAAAATCTGATGAAAGGAAGTGTGCTCGTTAGGATTCTCTAAAGAAACAGACATGCTGATCAACTGGCAGGTAGATGTAAGTGGGGATTGTTTAAGGAAATCCCTTTATGTCAGTATGTACGGTTGAGAAGCCGCATATCAGTATTTTAAACCTGGGGACCCTGGGATGCTGGTAGCACCACCCAGTTCAAATCTTGGGATCTCAGGATTGGAGGGGGGGGAGGATGGGGCGGGGTGGACCAGAAGGTCCAGCGTTCTGATGTCAGAGGGCAGGGGAGATAGAATATACCCCAGCTGCAAAATAGAGCGATCAATTCTCCTTTGTTCTGTCCAGCTCACGACTGATTGGATGGTTCCCCCACTCCCATACTGAGAGTGGATATGCCTTCAATCCCCTTAGAAAATGCCCTTCCAGACACACTCGAAAATAATTCCTCATCAGTTGTCCAGATGTGCATTCCACTGTAGCTGACATCTATCTAAAAATGAAACGTTACAGGGAGGGGGCAATGCAATGCATTTAGAAAGCCTTCCTTGTTAGGGTTTGCAATGAAATCCTGGGAATTCACTGTGTCTTGTGAATGTTTAGAGCCATTGTTCTTATTGTTGTTATTATTATTATTTTAGACAGGGTCTCACTGTGTAGTCTGGCTGGCCTAGAACTCTCTATGTAGACCAGGTTGGCCTCACACTTCTAGAGACCCACCTGCCTCTGCCTCCAGAGTGCTGGGATTAAAGGCTCATGTCACCACACTCAGCTTATTCATATCTTTTAAATTATAACAATGAGCCATCTTGTGACATGTCTTGTTTTTATAGGGGACTTGGAAAGTTTTGTGGTCATTGGAGTCCCTATAAGATTGACTCATTCAGTGTCCTGGCTCCACTGAATACAGATCCCGAGTTTTCTGGCGCTTGACTGGCTTATTTTATTTTAAACTCATATTTTGAAGTACCATTTAATATTTTTGAGAGGAGAGGAGAGGGGTATGTATGAAAGGGCAGAGATGGGAGCTGTGGGTGGTAGTATTCTTTACGCCTCAGTTTGGCTGACATGAACAGCTCAGATTTGGCTCAAACTTGTGTTCATTGGGAGCCGCCCAGAGAGATTAACAGCTGCTTTGTATCAGAGGAAAATACTACAAAGGACTGGCACATGTCTCCCTCTAACATGAAGGATTGGTGGGGGGAGAGCGGTTAAGGAGAAGCAGATGTACACTCACTGCCCTGATTTGCTACGAGCAGGACATAGATGTGCTTAAAAAGACAAAAGCTGTCACAGCCTTATTCCATGGAGAGCAAAGGTGAATCAGCAAACGTGACTTTAGACTCTCACTGGCCAGGAGAAGCCAAGGGAAGCATCTTCGTTCACTAGCTTTAGCCTTTGTCTACCGCTCACTTGTCTTCCCTCAAGCTGCTGACAGACCCAAAGTCTCCTTTCTCCATCTTCTTCCTCCTCTGGAAATGTGCTATTTGTTGTTAAAGATGCTATGTAAGCTGAAATTCAAAACTACCTCATTGGAAACTATGTATTCAGTATATCTTCCGCATGTCTATGAAATATACGCCAGCCAACCTCCATTTTTCTTTTGCTAGGCTGTTTTTCGTAGAAGAGATCCATTCTGTCAGTACCTGCGAGGGTTGCTATTTCTCCCAGAGTTCCTCTTGGGTGGCTGACTCTATGGGTATAAAAATGAGTTCCTGGTGTACACAGAGTACATTCCCTCCATTTCCATCTTCTTTCCAGCTCTTTCATGTCGGCTTTGCTAAGGGAGCACTGTTGGCACCAATCTTTCAAAGGAAAATCCTTTCCTTATCACTGACAAGGTACTGTGTTACGTCCAGTTGTCAAAAATACCAATAATCCAGTAAGAGACATTGTCTCATACCTAGAAGACTCATCCCACCTACGTCAGCAGTTAAAGACTGTGGATTGAGCCGGGCAGTGGTGATGCACACCTTTAATCCCAGCACTAAGGAGCCAGAGTAGAACTCACAGAGTGAGTTCGAGGCCAGCTTGGTCTACAGAGCAAGTTCGAGGACAGCCAAGGCTATACAGAGAAACCCTGTCTAGGAAAACCTAAACCAAATGAAAATTATAAAAAAGTAGATTGGGAGTATCAGGTGGCTGAAAGGGTTGAGTCTCTTTTGTGTACTGAGCATTACTTTCGGGCTGATCTCATACATAATCTCTTTTAACTCCCATCACCGTTCTACCTAGTGACTGTCAGAATTCCTCCTTGCAGACTTAGAAACTAAAATGGAATCTGCAGTGTGTGTGTGTGTGTGTGTGTGTGTGTGTGTGTGTGTGTGTGTGAACAGAATGTAAACACGGGGTTTTCTCTGCATGCCTGCTGCTGCAGATAGGGGACTGATGTGGGTCCTGCCTTAGATGTCCTCTCCCTTTCCCCTGAAGGCTTCCCCGTCCTTCAGTTCCCTGCTAGTCCCCCTCTCTCCTGACTTTATCACTGATTTTTCCTTCTGTGATCTTCTGCTGCTGTTTATGTTTTAATCATATTCATCTAAGGTGCCACTGATGATGTGTTTCCTCCTGCCTTCTGATTGTTTCCTGGGTCCCACCTTTCTTTTGATGAAGAACACAAGCTGTTTTGGTACAGGGAGGTCTGTTCTTCGTGTTTCTCTTACATTCCCACAGGCACTGAGAGCATAATAGGGCAGGGAAGAACCCATTCGAGGGTGATGGGTGATGGGTAAGTTCACGTGTGTCCTCTGTCAGTCATCAGCATCCACAGCACTTAAGGGTCCTTGGAATCCTCTCCTCGGTCTGTTGCTAGGACTACAGAGTGTGGAGTGAGTGAAACCTGGGAAATTTTACACTGAGAGTTTTTGCAGGTGCAGGGAGGCTATATGTGCCTCCATGGCAGGGAAGTGGGATGGGGGGAGAGAACAGTGACTGGGATGCTGGGAGATCAGGGCTCTGGACCCAGTTCTCAAGATCATTTCCTAATTTGGGATAAAAACTTAACTTTTCTCCAGCTCCACTTCTTTATTCATAAAATGGAAACAATCACAGCCATGTAGCCTGCCCTAAGAATAACCCAGTAACTTATCTTCTGAGTTTTTGAGAGTTCATGTAAACAACACATGTACAAATATCAGGAATAAATGTAAGAGGGAAGGAGCAGGGCCCCGGTTTGTGAGGTTGGTTAGAGCTCAGAGGTCTCCTGAGACCTTCCTCTATGCCCGCTCATTCGGTCCCGGGTGTGGCGCCACCTCCTGCAACACTGGGCATTTCTAGGGGAGACCCGAGGGGACAGTGTGGTCAGTTCTTGTGCTGGTCTCTGACTCGAACTTTGTTCAGATTACGACGGTGATGGAAAGATAGAAAGCAGATAGGAAGAGCAAGTTACAGATCTATTGGCAGCATAATAATGGTAGTTCATGACAGTAAAGTGTGTTCTTGGAAAATACTAAGTAAGATGCTGTGTTCTCACCACAAAGAGATAACTATGCAAAATCGCACACTTATATCTTAGTTAGATTTAACCTTTCCACAATAGATGTGTATGTCAAAGCCTCATGAGGTATAGGACAAATGCATATAATTTTGTCAATTTAAAAACTATGGAGTAAAAAATATATTTCTGTCTAGATTTGGCACTTCAAATAGCTTTCCCTTTGTTGAGCTCTGGTTTCACCTTCCTGAGAATGAGTTTAGTTCTTCCAAGCTTCTCCTTTCTAAAGTGGAAGGGGGGGGGGAGTGGAGAGGAGGTTCTCCCGGATCTCAGTTACAATAGATCCCTTTCTCCTTTCCAGCAGTAACATCCACAGTGTCCTCTAGGCAGTGGAGAACCAGAGGCTCAGAGCCGATTCCCTCTCCCTCTCCCTCTGCTGAGCACATCTGTATGCAGTCTCCACTTGGGGGAGCTGACTCAAACCTCATGGAGAAAATCAGGGAGTCCAAGTAGATAGCAGTCCAGTGAATTATTCCTCACTAAAATAAATCAATATTTGAGGGCCACCCACATCTGTTGATTTTCCTAGCCCTGAGTACCCAACAATTGGTAAAGATTGAATACACTGCTGAACAAATCTAAGTAGTTTCTTACATGTACGACGTTGATGGAAAGATAGAAAGCCTTCTCCTCCTCCTCTTGGCTTGCTTTGTTTCTCCTTCTCCAGAATATACATACATTATGTATTATGTAGAAATAAAAATCCTGAATGAAAGGAATGATTCACTAAAGGGTAGTGTTTCAGGTGGCAAGGATGGGTCAGAAAAGGTTTATCTGGGGCATTTGTTCTTGTGTTTGGGTATATTGGGGTGGCACAACTCGGGTGGTTTTGATCTGTAATGACAGACGCCTCCAAGTCAAGGTGGCTTCAATGATGAGAGATTTAAAAATTTGTCTTCTAACGGAATTAGAAACCCGGAAGTAGGTCAGGCTACTGGTGTGCCATGCCTAGACTTCAGACTGGCTGCTTCATGTGTTGGCTTTCCCCTCAAGATGGCAGCAAACTGATCATAGCAGAGCCAGCTCTCAAGCCCAGATTGAATGCTGTTTATAGGAAGAATCACTATTTCATGTTGCTTAATGAGGAGAGGGAAAAAGTCCCCTCAGCATCCCATGTGCTATCCTTCAGGGGTTCCCTAAGAGTTCATTTCTGAATGCCAAGTAGTGACATTACAAAATGCCCCACCTTAATAATAATTCTTCTCCATCATCATCATCATCATCATCATCATCATCATCATCATCATCATCGTTTTTGGTATGACGGATGGACCCTGGGACCTGGCACATGCTGGACAAGTGCTCCTCTCTGAGTTGTATTCCCAGTTCCACTTATTTTATTTTGAGACAGTTTCTAGTAAACCTACCAAGGTATGCCTTAAACTTTATGATCCTCCTACATAGCCTGGATTACAGGCATGGTCTACCAGTCTCAGCTTATATTTCTTATTCTTGCAAAGAATTCCAATACAGTATATTCCATGTTTGGAGACCCTTGAACTCTGTTACCAAGTCCCTTGGAAGCCAAGAGCTTTGGGGAGAACTGAACTTCATATTTTTCTCAATTGACTCAGGCTCTCTGCCCATCACTAGTGGGTGCTTCTTCTCTGTTATGTTTTGGATATGAACAATTGTATGTTGAAGACTTGATTCCCTAAGCATCAATGGTCAATGTGTGAATTTTAGGAAGTGATTGGACCTTGAGAGCTCTCTTCATCATGATAACATTTTTAGCAAATAATGCCACTAGGGGAGTAGCCTGGACAGATGATCTTACCCTTCCTCCCCCAAGTCCTCCATCTCAGTTTCCTGACTGCTACAAGGTAAGCAGCTTTGTTCCACTGTACCCTCCTCCCAAGATCTTCTTGAGCCAGTGTCTCATGGTTGGAATGCAAGACTGTGAGCCAAAATGTGTTCTTCTTTTGAATAGATTCTCTCTGGAATTTGCCACAGTGATGAAGGGTCTCTCTAACAAGTTATTTCTGGAGTTGTTGCTGGTGTGAGGTGTGGTGTGGTGTGGTGTGTGTGTGTGTGTGTGTGTGTGTGTGTGTGTGTGTGTGTTTAATCCCTTTGGGCTGATCAGCTAACCATATTAGATAGTGAAGTCAATCTCCCACCAATAGGATAAGATGAAGTCTCATCGGGTAAAAACCAGGAGCCACATTGACCCTGGTGTTCTTGCTACCCCAGTAGTTGGGTTCTGGCATATCCATCCCCCATTTCCCCAAAAAGAAATACCTTGCTGAGGTATTTTCATTTTGTTTGTTTGTGCCTTTGGTGAAACTGAGATTATTCATTGTTTGTTTCCAACACTAGTTCCTGAACCAAAGACTATATTTCCTAATGTCCATGTCATGGGCCATGTGGCAACTGCTCACCAGTTCAATGTTAGTAGGAATGAAATGTCACCTACAAGCTCTGTAAGAAGTGGTCTTTCCTTTCTGTGCTGGCTGGAGGCAGAATATTCTGATGTCTAAGAAGCCCAGCCTAACATAATGTAAGAAATCAGGACCCCTGACCTTCTCATGGAGGAAAGCCACACCCATACCTACAGCAACACCTGCCATGTAAGTGAGAAATAGACTTCTGTTGTGTTAGACCACAGGAAATTTGAGATTATTTGGTATTAAAGCTAGTATTGCTCTGTTAATATGTGATGTTTCAAAGCAAAAACACAGAGCTATTAAGCACATCTTGGAGGTCTTACATGGAGATCACAAACTCCTAATGTTACTTCTCTGTCTTTCTGTACCTCTCAGCATCACAGTTCCTAGTTCTAGTCTTTATATATGAAATACTTACCTAACAGATAACTACAGCCTCTTACTTCAGCATCATGCTCACAAGTACAATGATTCCTCTGCTTTGACAGATGCCCAACAAAGGCCTGAGTTCCTGATACTACAAATCTTTCAACTAAGTCTGAGTCTATTGGTAGAGACAGGAATCATTTTGTATTCTGAGACCCATGGAGGGGTCCCCAAGAAAGAACTCTGGACCTCTTCAAGATCTCTTTGCAGAAGGACTTGTAGGCAGCCTTTGTATTCAATTAGCTTTTCAGTGAGTAACTGTCAACTGGAACACACACACACACACACACACACACACACACACACACACACACACTAAGCAATTGGGTTATAAAGTTAAAGTTTATTATCAAGAAGAGAAGTACAATGCTAGATGTCTGGATAACTTGAAAGACTTTCATTCCATAGATTAGGAAAGATTCTGGCCTTCAGAGTAGCTAATGCATATCCTATTTTGCAGCATTGAATTAGCTCATGTTCTTCACATCCTGCTTATTTCAAATAGGATCATCTTTGGTATGCCATGAAGAGTAAACTGGCCTATTGCTGACTTACAACTTAACTAATAAAAAAAACTATGGAAGCTTTGATAAATAGAGACTGGTTCAGTCTGCACTGGGATAAATGTCACTTTGGATTGTGTGCCGCGGAAATTGGAGTGGGTGGGGCCTCCACCTGGTTTCAGGCTTCCAACAAGAGCTGTCTGTCTTAAACTGGGACAGATCATCTCTTTTGACATTTTCCTCACACTCTGTGCACAGACAGAGCTGATGTGAGCCCACAGTTGTCAAAGATCTCTCTTGGCCGTGGTTCTAGGCAACCCAGGCTCCACTCTACCTCTGTGTCCTGTCCCATATTATGACTGGTACCAGAACAAGGGTCTGGGTGGAATAATAAATGTGGATAATGCTTAGAAATCTTCCAGCTCCTAAGAAGGAATCTGTCTTGAGTTCAGGAGGAAAGCAGCAGGAAGACCTCTTCAGGGCATCTGTGGGCACCATCTGGGTCAAGAGACTTGGTGGTAGTTTAGTACTCCATTTTCAGAGGTCCTGTCAACACCAGATAAGTAGCAACAATTATGACTAATGATAGCGTTCCCAACTTCCATGACATTGTCAAGGGGACTATAAATGTTCACATGAGGTGAGAAGTGCTAAAAATATATGCCCTGAGGCTTTGGGAGTACCGAAGAGGGGCCCAGTGTCTCACCCAGCAATCCAGAGAGAGCTTCCAGAAGACAACAGCCGAGGCAGGCTTAGAATGTAGGTAGTTAAGCAGGTAAAGTACTCTGGAGGGAAGGGGTGATGCATTGATCTTAATCTGCCAAGAAGGAAGTTAGCAGACAACAAAACCATAAGTAGCTGCCGGGAGGAAAGGGTGGGAGTCCCACAGAGGTGGGACTTAGAAGGGGGACTGTATGTTTGACAGCCAACGGTAGATCTACAGCACCTCCCTGATCCTTTCACACTGGGGACCACCCCCATCCTATTTAACAGTCAAAAGTGGGGCCCACAGAAACATCTCCACAGAATGGCTTTCTCTGAGCTTCAGCAGTGCAACTTGTCACATTGCTTCAGTGAGGGCGAACACTGTGAGGTCTAGGGAGGCTAGGTCACTAAGTGGTCCTGCCGTGCTAGAGGTCTTTGAAACCAGCCCTCTCTTGGCCCATTTTGTCACCCAAGACATAGTGAGATGTTTAAAGGGCTCAGCCTAGCAGATGTTTGTGTCTACTTTAATAGTTCTTGTAGCAGACATCCATCTTCATGTATGTTCACTTCCTTTCTCCTTTCCCATAGTGGGCAGATCACAGAGCTCCACTGTCTTCTAACGGGATGGCCATATGTGGACAGGAAAACTGAAGTCATGGTGCAGGGGCCTTCTGTGGTCTCTCTCCTTTGGAAGCCCTATCAGTAGCTTCCATAAGCACAGCTTCCAACACCTTGGGACGGTAAGTGGAGCTAGGGGAGCTTGAGCAACCTCCTTGTTTAGCTTGTTGTTAGTTATTTGCTTTTTATTGTGAGTTCTGAGGGCCGTGCCACTTGGCAGCATGCTCCCATTAGCTTTGCTATCTGTAACACTTCTGATGTGAGGTAACCATGGTGACAGCTGTTAAGGAGCATTTTAGGAGCTCTGAAACCGCTGCAGCCTATCTCAAACTGGTCGAAACCACTGACCTTCCACTAAGACTTGCACAGTTGTCTGTCTTCAGTTCTACATCCTGTCTCTGCACATCACCGGGTTTTGAAGGTATGTACTATGAAGAACCATGGCTTGTTCACATATGCATAGACCACTGGTTACCTGCCTTTCCCCACACATCAGAACATGGTGTGTTCTACTTCCAGAAACTCCTCTAAATTGTATTGCCAGGAATTCGGATATAGGTTTGGGGCTCCCCCTCCTCAAACTAGGTTGCCTCATCAATAAAAGTCTTCATGTCCAAACTGGTCACCTCAGGGACTGAAGTACATACAGCATGCTAAGTGAGCCTGGTTTGTCTGGCTGTGTGTGTCATGGGTGTAACGTGAGGTGGATTCCCGCCATTTCCCACTAGACAGGTAGGGTAAGCAGGAATAAATTACATCTGAATTTGGAGTGGCCACTTGTTGCATGATCAAATGTTTCCTGGGGAGATGCAAAACACACATCTATCCACTCCAGATAGGGAACTCATGACACGCCAAAGTACAGATACCATCAAGGGTCAATTTGGTGAACCAATGAGTTTTATTGGGGTGACTTACAGGAATATGGGTGAAACGTTACCTATAGGAGCAGAAATGACTCAAAAACAACTGTATCCACAAAGCCCACCCCAGCTTGGGTGACAGGTCACAAAGCTAGAACCTGGAGCACACTGCACAGCCTGCAGGCAGCCCAACAGGTTGGAGAGTGTCATTTCCAGGTACCCAGTTGTTCTAAACCTCTTTCAGGCAGCTCAGCTGCTCTCTGGTTTTTTCCAGGTAGCTATATTCCGGTCTCAGAGTCTTCTTTGCAACATAGCTTCCGTCCATCTGAGAGGGACTCTCAGCTTCTATTGCTTACTCTGTCTGGGACGGGCCTAGTGAATCTGCTCAGTTTCAGGGACTTCCTGGAGCTGTTTTGAATGGTTTACCTTCTTGCTAAAAGAGCTTTGCTGCAGGGTGGAACGTTTCTTTCTGGGAGGAAACTGTTAAGGAACACCACTGCAGTGTACCTGAGTCCCTGCAGGAAGTTACAGAAGGGCTGCCTGTTCCCCTGGATTTGGAAAGTTGCTGCCCCTCACGGCTGTTCATCACCAATAAGTCCAAATGGACCCAGCTCTGCCTGTGCCCTGGAGGTACTCCCAGAGGGAAGGGGTTGTTTTGCAATCCCCACAACCCACCTCTAGCCAGAAGTCAGAGGAGAGCAGAGGGAGCCATATTCCCAGCGTATAGAGCCCCACACTGATGAGGACTTTTATGGCACTTTTGTGGACAGAACACAAATTGGAAGGCTTTTCTGTCGAAAAGACCCCCAAGTACTCAGAGCTGTGTGACCGCCTCCTGAACTCTCCCTTCTGCTACCTGCCTCCACCAGGAATGCTTTGGGGCTTAATTTCTAGACACGAACATTTCTCTAAACTCAAGAATTCTCTGAAAGTGTTCTGCTCCAGTTAGTGCTCTGAGGACCTGGGTAGAAAACTTTCTTCTCTTTTAAACATTTCTTGGGTTTGATTGAGCCTATTCAAGGCTTGTTTTTCTGAACTTGTTTGAGGGCTCACAATGAGATCAATAATCATTTTAGGTTCCTCAATGATTTAACAACTGCTTTGGGCCAACGGTGCGACCGGTTCAAATGACTGTTGAGATTGCCCATGAAGATGAGGGAGAAATGTATTTCCACAAGAACGGTCAATTTCGTGTCGGCGAGGTGTTGTGGTCAAGCCCTAGCCACTCTTCCTACCCAGTCCCACCTCTCTGAGGCGCTCAGTCAGTCTGCTGCGTGTTCAGCAGGACAACTTTCTAAAACAGGGTTGTGGTCCCGTCACTCCATTTCCGGAGAGCCTCACATCATTTCCACATGCTGACAGATGGCGTGCCGAGCATCGGCTAGGGTCGGCCTCTTTCGGCAAGGTTTTTCCTGAAGTCTCTGCTCCCTGGCAGAGCCCTCTTTTATATTCTCCAGTCACATACAGCACCACCTGCTGCCTCCAGACCCCCACACACATTTTCATGCCTCTGTGAAGTACATGTGGGTCCCGGGAGCCTTTCTCTTTCCCTGCCTCGTGACTTGAGGCACTCTCACCTAGTTCCTCCCTTCTTTACCCCATAGGTCATCAGGAAGGCAGTCCCGCCTCTGGGCTCATGCAGCACTTCAGTTTTGAAGAGACTCCAGCCAGCTGGAGCGCAGCAAACCTGGCTCTGGCAGGCCTTGCTTTTCTCCAGTTCCCGCTGCTTTGCTGAAAACCGTTAGATTACATCCTTAAAGCCAGTCACCAAGGTCTGTTCTCCCATATGGACACTTCCTCCTCCAGAGGCTGGCTACCAAGGTCCAGCTATAAAAGTATTGAAGTCCAGCAATCAAAAGTCACCTTTGGCTACATCAATGAACATGCAATTAAAATTAAACACCTCACCTTAACATGGGGTTTCCCCTTTTACCTTTATAAACTCTCATTTGCCTATGGGCCAGTCTGCCTCCTCTCTATCCAGAGGCAGTTCATCTGTCCCCTCCGGGACAAATGCCCCTCCCTCCCCCTCCTACTCCTGTGTTCCCTTCTCCTTCTCCCTTGTCCTCTGTCTTCTGTCTTTGTCTCTTATCCCCTGCTGATATATTCCTGCTGACACAAAAAGCCAGATCAGACCAGATTAAAAGCAGATAAATGCAGGTTCATTGGGTGTTGCTCCCTGGTGGGTTCACCAGTCCCAAAGAATGGGGCCAGAGAGGTCTCATGCCCAGGCTAAGTCAGGGAGATTTTATAGACCTTAGGCGAGGGGTGATGATGTGCTACCAGGAACTGTGACTGTGCCTAAGTAGGGTAAGAAGCTAAGCCCCTGGGCAGGCACTTGGGTGGGCTGGTCATGTCAGAAATGCAGCATCGGCTGCCACAACTGCGGAACTGGGCTTTTGGTACCATTCCTTTGTTCAGAGTTTTCTCAGTGTGGACAGGGTTGGGGGAAGTAGGGTAAACGGATTTCCTAGCTTGTGCTGGGGTGAACAGCGGTTCCAACCAAACACCTGTCCTTTGTCCCTCTGGGGCAAATAAATCTCCCTGTGCTCCTAAGAATTTGGTCTTAGGGGTCCTGGGCTGATACTGATCCCTTCAGGTTTAGCTTCACAGGTTGTATGGTTACTATTTATTTACTTCTCTGTTTGTCCCTTTCCTGGTGTTGGGACAGTAAATCACCCTGTGAGTGTACCTAGTGCAGTGACCAGTCATTAGGAGTGGCCTGAGGAATATTTCAAGCAGTTAAAAGAGAGGGAGGGAGGGAGGGAGGGAGGAGAATGGGGGAGGAATGAGAGAGCAAGGCAAGGAAGGAGAGGAAAAGTCCATTTTGTCGTGTCTCGAGTCTCCTTCACTGGCTCACAAACAGGTTCTGAGGCTCCTTCACTGGCTCACAAACAGGCAGCTCCTAGTCCATCACCTCCCTTAGATGTTCGTTTGTGTTCTGTCCACAGGTGGATGAACCCAAGCTCGGAATGCAGAGCTAATTGTAAGGATAAGAGTGGCACATGAGCCGACCAACCAGGTCCTGGCTAAAAACTGCCTTCCACAAGACCTGAGCCAAGTTGGTCTTCTCACCTAATATGTGAACTAGCAATTATTAAATAAAGATTACTCTGAAACTCAGTGGGGTAAAACACTAATCATTAACGCTCATACCTTACACATGTGCAGATTGGCTGTGGGTTGGGCAGCTTTATTTCTCTCTGCAAAGACACTGTGTACTGTGTACCCTGGGGTGGCCCTGCTCCACATGGAGTTCATCTTCCCTAAAGTGGGCAGAGCATATTCTTCACATGCTGATAGAAGAACCACAGAGTGAAAAGTGATGATATGTAAGAATATTACATTGAAATTCCCCTCCTTGTTTTAATGGTAAACAAGTTAACAGTCAATTTGTAAGATAAAGGAGAAGATAAAGGAGAAGAGACACATATGCACGCATGCGCGCGCGCGCGCGCACACACACACACACACACACACAGAGACAGAGACAGAGATAGAGACAGAGTAAACAAACAACCTAATCCCACAGTAAGTAAATAGCTTTCTTCTTTGGCAGTATTGACATTGCAGCTGGGTAACTATTTTTTCCGGGGGGCTTTCCTGGGCATGTCAGATGATTAGTAACATTCCTGGGTTCTTCTACACACCAAAGTCCAGGAGCAACCTTCCAGCTTGACAACTAAAAATATCTCCATACACCGGGCGGTGGTAGTGCACGCCTTTAATCCCAGCACTCAGGAGGCAGAGGCAGGTGGATCTCTGTGAGTTTGAGGCCAGCCTGGGCTACCAAGTGAGTTCCAGGAAAGGCACAAAGCTACACAGAGAAACCCTGTCTCGAAAAACCAAAAAAAAAAAAAAAAAAAAAATCTCCATACAATGTTTCTTGAGGATCATACACTTGGCCTCTGTTGCACAGTGTGGGAACAATAATGAAATCTTCAATGGCTGTTGCTAAATTGTTATTGACCTTATATTGTGTTTCAAATGGCTAAATTCTATTGCTGCTATTAAGCAGTCAATAGAAGCTAGTGTCTATTATGTTACATATATTACTATGACCATGTAATGTAGTTACTAAAACTTAGATTTTGGTGGGGGGAAAGGATTTGTAATATTTTTGGAAAATATATAACCTTATTTTTTAATTAAAGAAGGATTTGGAATGCTATGAGCATGGAGAAAATAAGTTTGTAAAATATATAAATGTAAATATACATGTTTAGGAAGAAGACTGGGTGGGTAACTGTGAAATGTTAAGTGATGATTTTCTACTCTAGTATAGTTTGGGGGAATTCTGATTTTCGTTAGATTATTCTGTTCTTTTTTAAATTCTCATGAGACAGTGTTTATGTTTTATATTAGTAAAGCAGATTTACACACTCACACAGTTTAAAATTTATCTAAAGAGCTCGAGCCTGACTCTCCTCCCCAACCTTTACCCTTCAAATATTTTCTTACAAGAAGAGCCCTTTAAAAATCTTTCTGTTTACCTTGGTCTTTTTGAGACAGTATTATTGTTGGTGGTCAATAAATATTTGTGGCTGATGATTTCATTTCATAGAGTAAAGGATATCTCCAGAAGCAAGTTTGTGTTAAATAAAGCCAAAATTTTAAAGTATAAGAGTGTTAGAATCCTAGAGATTATTTGGGAAGGAAGCATGTTTATATACTGCAGCTGGAATTATAAATTGTTGATATTTCTAAAAGACAATTAGGCAGTCTTCGAAATGTTCAGGGGGCTAGAGAGTCAGCTCAGCCATTGAGAGCACTTGCTGCTCTTCTAGAGTACCTGAGTTCAGTACCCAGCACCCACACTGGGTGGCTCATAACTACCTGTAACCCAAACTCCACGGGAACTAATGCCTCTGGCCTTGGAAGACACCTGCACTCATGTGTACAGACTCATACGCAGACATACACATTTACACATTTAATTAAAAATAAATATTTTAAAGTATTTTTAGATAGAGTTTTTTTTTTCTTTTACATGAGTGATCCAGAGGTGTGTATAAAAACTGCTAAATGGTCAATGAGATGCTTCAGTGGTTAAGAGCCTTTCCAGAGGAGCCTAGTCAAGTTCCCAGTACCCATACTGGCTATCTGTAACTACAGATAAAAGGTTTAAGATGGCCTCTTAGGACCTCTTCTGGTTTCCTCAGACAACTGCACTCACATGCACATACCATAATACAAACACACATGTATATAAACAATTAAAAAGAAAAATAAGTCTTAGAAAAGATGGCTAACGATGTTCAATAAAGCATTTATATTATAGCTCAAAGTAGGAAATGATTTCCATTGAAAGAAGAATGTGATAGAATATTCTGCAGTAAATAAAGGTTCTATTTGCAAAATTATAAGATGGTATTAGTAAATGCTCATGACTCATTGGTGTGGAAAGGCTCTGACTGTCTCTAGCATCCATCCCTGTAGTCTCTTGCATTTAGTAATAGGTGGCTGTCCCACACAACTCTGTGAAGACACATAGTCTCCCCTCTGCCTCAAAATGAGGATGTGGCCAACCTGAGATTAACATCCATCTAAAGATAGGAACTGCTTTGCCCACCCGCATCCTGCTACTTGCCTTGGGGTTGGAAATTTTCAGTATTTGTGAATCAATTCAGCTCATTCATTTAGAATGGAACCTTAGCAAGCGTAGAAGTGAGACCAAGGAGACTTGAGGTCCCAGACAACCTCATAAACAGAGATCCTCAATTTCAATATCTACTTAAGGTACAAAAGTCCTTAGTTTGGGAGAGACAAATCTTGTATAACACTGTAGTTTGAAGTCTTTGATAATGGTATCTTAGAGTGAGCTATGTCTAAACAAGAACCAGTACCACTCATATCCCAAAGGAACAACAGAGACATTGGATTGTCCTTCTCTTATTTTAACAACTACGATGTAAGGAGCAAGGAAACAGATATTGTAGCCTGGGGTCTGGTCACCTTTCTCAAGCAATGGCAGTGCACTTCGAAAAACTGGTTCTGGGATAACTCTGAAGGTGGCTACCAGCTTACCACACTTGGAACTCTGGAGTAAATCGTGAGTTAAAATCAAAATGCTGGTTTCTGATGGCTGTTCCTGGAGGCTTTCGGTAGGGAAGATGACTTTTTGGCAGGAATTTACCAGCGTGCAAGCAGAAAGGGCAGGAAATGCACTGTGGTAAGGACCTCCCCTGTGTTTGGGACTTCAACCTGAACAGACTGTCAATCCAGTAAGTCAGTCATCACAGAGCTGTTGCCCCACCATAAAGAGAAAGAGATAATACGTTATCTATGGAGCCAATCGGATGGCAAATACAAAATTAAACATACTGTTGTCTCATGCAAGCCTGTTATTTCACATGGCCTCAAAGTTGCTACTGGAGAGAGAATAATCCAAATGCAGACATGAGTAAATATAGGAGTATCCAGAAGCTGACGATTTATGTAGACAAGGTTTTGGCTGTCCTTACATGTTCATGGAAATGACTAGAAGCAAGTAAGCCAAAAACTGCTAAGAATTATGAGAGCACTGTGTGATCAAAGAAGCCACAAACCTGGCCTGCAAAAGCTATAATTTTCTATCTATAACGAAGGCCCCAGGAAGGCTGGGCAGCCTCAAGGAGGGCATGTGCCCCCACACTCACTGTCATTGTGGCCACAGAAGTTTATGGCAAGCAGAGTCTCCAAGAGGTCAGTGTACAAAGGAATTTCTCTTAGAGATCAGAATCACCATCTACAGCCCACGGAATTTTCTAAATTGGCTGAGATGGATTTCAAGTCTTTCCCAGGAAGATTTCAGCATTCGTAAGAAATGTCGTAAGAAACGTAATGATTGTTTCTTATTCACTCTAGTCCCAAGTGGGGTTCTGCGGCAGCTCTCCTCTGTGATTCCTCTACCATGCTCTAAGCATTGGGGAGGTGGCAGGAAATGTGCCTATTGGTTTGGACACTCTGGGATCCCTGGTTCACCAGCCTTGAGAACAAGACTTCAGATCATCCAAAAACCTTGGAGTTTCTGTGAAAGCCACATCTACAAGGCTCTTCAGTCTCTCCCTTGGGAACAGAGTAAACACATTCTTTGTAATTATGAGTGGAGTTGGTGACTTCAAGCAGAGATTGATTATCATTTCCAGTACCCATTTTCCTCGTGCCTTAGAAATAACTCTTTTACGGTGGGCTTTTCCCAGGGATTCTCCTGAATCCACCTCCCCAGTGCTGAGATTACAAGCATACACCATTACAACAGGCATTTTATGTAGCCTTTGGGGATGGAGCTCAGGTTCTCAGGCTGGCAAGGCCAGGATTTTACTGACTAAGTTATTCTTCCAGTCCCTAGGGAACATTTTTAACTATTTATTTATTTTACAGAGGAGGTAGATTGCTTACTTTCTGTTTTCTCAGTGCCTCCTCTCTCGTGCGAATAGCATGGGGCATGAGGGATCTGCTTTAAACACATGGATTAAAGCAATCTTGGGGGGACATTTTGAGCAACACGCTGGTGCAGTCATCTCAGCATCTGGAGGGCATTGGCTCCCCGGTCCCTGTGCAGATACCAACATCTGCAGATGTTCAAGTGCATATAAAGTGACATGATGTGACAGATTGCCTATGCACATCCTTGGGCACACTTTAGATCATCTTTAGGTAACTGTAATATCTAAATTGTATCAAATACAATTTAAATAGCAGTATAACTGTATTGGTTGGGGAATAATGACAAGAAAAGTCTTCACGTGTTCAAGGTAGATATTTCTTTCTTTTTCTTTTTGAGACAGGATCCACTATATAACTTTGGCTAGCCTCCAACATAGAGATCTGCCTGCCCCTGCCTCCAGAGTAGACTAATGACATGTACCACATGTCCCACATGTCCAGCCCAGGATAGACATTGCTTTTTTACTAGTCTCTTTATATTATCTGCAGTAGTTTGAGTCCATAGATGTGGAATCTGAGGATAACGGGGTGACCACTGTGATGGTTAGGGTTGTCAACTTGACAGAATCCAGAGTCACCTGGGGAAGGTCCTCAGGGCATGCCTGTGGGAGATTACTCAGATTACATAAATTAGTGAGGGAAGGCCACCAAGCAACTCCTAAATCATGCCACAGAGACTTATTATTAGTTTTGAATATTCAGCCTCGCTTAGGCTCATTTCTGGCTAGTTCTTTTAACTTAAATTTACCTTTTTTTTTCCTTCTGTATATCTTACTTTCACTCCATCTCGTGTCTGGCTGGTGGCTGCCTGGCTGGCTGGCCCCAGGCA